CAAGGATGGGGGCACCCTCCCAGAGTTGAATTCCGAGTCAGCTGTCTGGATCCGAGTCACGGCACCAAATTTTGTTATAGGTAGATTAAGGCAAATCACGTCCAAATATGGATTAATGAATCTTTATTAAGGTAAGAGAGCAAATGCAGCACTGGGGTGGCCGAGGAGTCGCAGCTCTGTCCAGGCTCACCAAATTGTTTAAGTTTCAAACCCCCTTTTATCCACCCAGCTGCTGGTTTCAACACCTTCAGCATGCCTCCTGGCTTCTTCTACAATCTTATATTCTTCTTTCTTCAGTCCTGTGGTCATGTACACCTTGTCCTTCAAGTCTGGGCCAATTTGCAGCTCCTTTGTCTTTTATGGCTCAGTGGTTTCAGCTCCTCTCTTATCTCAAGGACAAAGGATACCAGAGATGGCCCATTCTGTTCTTTCTCAATCCATTGCAAAGGAGTTACCACCCTTTGATATGGATCATCTGGTGAGCATCCCAAGGAGGGGGGGCTGTTGGGTTGGTGTTTCCTCAGATCAATTCCCCCCTTTTCTTTTCCCAGTAGTAAAGTCTTTTACTTTTCTTAAAATTTGGATCATTGTACTAATAATAGCTTTAGCCTAAGAAGCAATTGTTTAATTACTTTTAGCGAAAGCAAAATTCTTCTATTTTTTATCACATTGATCATTAACCGGTTTGAATATGTGTACAAAATAATTCAGGAAAATGTTATAATTAAAAATAGTGACTTATCTACAGATTCACTCTAACTTACTATATGGTATCTTAAATCAATACATACATGTGCATGCACAAACACAAAACATGCAAATACACAGAGGACAAAAGTATTCAGATACAGTAGAATGAAGCATATATCTATACACACCAATAGTCAAAGAAAGAGTAAGAGGAGCTAGCTCAAAGTAAAAGTTCCCTCCTTGAGTTTAGAGCAAATAATCACAATGCCTTGGCATTCCTTAATGGGTGATAGTTGAGACTCAAGCAGGTTGACTTCACCCTGGCCTTCTCTGACAGCAGACAACACCTTAAGGTTTCTGATACATGAGAGGCATCCCAGCTCAGAGGAGATGCTGGTCACAGGCCTGCTGCATTCCAGGAGAGATCAAAGGGTCTCACTTGGAGTCAAAATCTATAGGGTCCAAGATAATTGACTTTTCTCATGTATTTTGGTCAGGCCCAGCTCAAACAATGAAACATTCTGGGATCTTCCAGCAGTTGCACAAGAATGTGATGAATGTGCATCTCTGTTATTGTTCTCATCTGATCACATCCCAGGTACAGGTGTGCCGGGCTGTTGGGAGATGAGGAACTGTTATAACCATTTCCAGGAGGGAGGGGCAGGAGCCAGGCCCGTTAAAGGGGAACCCGGATGTTCTGATTCACTGCCATTAGCAGTCCTTATCTCTCCAGGTTGCCGTGTAGCCCCGGGGGAGGTGGGTGGAATCTCGCTTAGCACCAAGCAGCCTAGGGGGTGAGAATTGCACCACCACAGCAGGCCAGGCTTCTGTAAGAATTTCTGAATTTCTGTCAGTGAAACTACTGGCAGTGAAATATTTGCCATCAGCCTGTAGAACAACAATTAATTGCTGATATGATTTGGAATGGATTTTACTTCAGAGTAGAATACCAATGTTAGTTTCATATAAGTGGAGGCATGCATTCAGAGCTCACTGATGTTAACAGCAAGACTTCATATGGGACTTATATGTTTCCTGAGCCTTTTGTGTGATCACTTATGATTAGAAAAAAAATGATAAATTCAATAAATTATTTGTTTGATGTTCCCCATTGATCTTTTGAGAAATGGAAAGATTTTGATGCATGATACACCCATTTTTCAAAAAGCTAACTTCATGGAAGTGACGTGCGGAAAACAGACTCCACAATCTGATAGATTGTAAAGTAGGTATGTTTATTCAGCGCTGGGCACATAGGGGATCACTCCTCCAAATATGTGCTACCATGTGGCACCATTGCCTTAGATTTATAGAGCAAATGATTACATATTCATAATATTTCGCAATACGCCTATACATATGCATCACCTATCCCCGCTTCGTATTAAAATTAGCATTTCCATGGTCTCCTCCCAGTTGAGTCTGCGCAGTGAGTTCCTTTGGTCCTGGGCAGGGGTCGTGAAGGACTGGGCGGTGGTCGTGGGAGGAAGTATCTCCTCTTCCTCAGTGCTGAACTTTTCACCCCGGATTCCTGCGCAGTCTCTGTCACCCCCTGGACCGGCAGAGCAGGTTTGTGCCGGTTGTGGGGTAATCTTCACTTACTCAGGGGTGGAGGAGGCTTTTTACTTAAACAGGAGATAGTGGTCCATCAACACAAACATCTTCACTTACTCAGGGGTGGAGGAGGTTTTTTACTTAAACAGGAGATAGTGGTCGAGCAACACAAACCTCGTACAAGCTAGGCAAACCCTTATCTCGACTATTTCTCTCGTCATCCCCCTTCTTGCTATTCCCATATTAACCCTTACATCCCCTGTTCCTATCTAGGCCCTGTATCAGAAGAGATTTGGATAGAACTCTTACCTAGTTACTGGACAGGGATTGAGAAACTGTTCAAAAGAAGTATTCCCAAAGGCTATAGTTTGCTTGGCAGAGGTTAATGCTTATATGGAGGGTACCTTTTTCTTTGCATCTTTGAGTCTCTAAAACTTGGTACTTACCTCAGCATCAGTACCTAAGTTGTGTGAGAGATAGGAAGTGAGAGTCTGGAAGTTTGTAGTGATGCATGATTAGGATTTTTTTGCTATCATTCTGCTGAATCTCAATACTGTTTTGACTGCATTAGTTATAGTTTTAGTTTCAAGGTTCTGAATAGATATATTTGCAAAATTAAAATGAATGGTACATTTGTCCAATGGATGAAATGACAGATGTATGATTTTTGTTTTCACATGCAAGCTAATTTGTCACAGTTGTGGACACAGCTCTGGAGAGGTTCTAATCCCTATAGTTTAAATAAAATGTTAATGATAATCTTCTCATCCATAGTTCTGTTGTGTTACAGCTATATAATATTTCATCATCACATTAATAGATCAGGCTAAAATATACCAGTCTTTTATTTGATGTGATTTGGCCATATAATGCAAATATGGCTCAGGTGGGCATTTTAGTTATGTGATAAAAATTATGAGAGGGGAAGAAAATGTGTGATTTAAAGCATAGTAAAGTAGGAAGCTGGACTCTTAAGTTTTTTAATTGACTTATTAAGACATACAAAACAGAAGTGTAACAAAATGATTTTTATTATTCCAAAGTGCACAACAGATAATACAGGTGTTTACAGATCTACTTTGAAAACATATATTTTCCCATACTTTTTTAGTTCAAGCTACTCTGTTTTGCAGTTTTAATTCAAAATTCTTTCATCCATAATGGAATAATTCCTGATATGAATAATATGCTTAGTTTTAGCTGAAGTCAACTCATTTTAAAGCAGAAATGAGAGGCAATTTGAGTTACCTATTACTTTACCACTTTAAACACTTCACTGGACTGAAGAAAATATCAATGTGGATTAATCTTATAAATAAAATTAAGAGAATTTATATCTTTCAGTAAAAAAGCTAAAAATTAAATAAGTTAAAATATCTATTATCTATTATAAAAGAGATCCAGAGTAACAGATATATTCCCTTTAAATAGTCATGTCTGTAAGGGTCTCAAAAGCAGACATGCCAGGCGATCTCAAGAGGTTGTCTACTTCATTCCCTTGCCTCATGGCACATTAACTTTACCTCTGTCATTCCTAACAGGTTCCATGTGTTCTTGAAGACCTGTAGAGGTCACTACTCCACATACCTCACTCCCTTCCTTCCTTCCTTTATTCCCCAAACCCCAGACAATTTATTTCAGTGTCTAGCTGTCTGTACCTTTTGAAAGATTTGCTAATGACTACTCTGAATCTTTCATTAATTGTTCTGTTCACTGTGAACTGACTGTTCTTTTTCTCTTCATAACAGTCTTCAAGCATGTAAAAGGTTAGCCTAATTTTCCCCCCTAAGTGTTACTTCCCATAAGCAAAACAACCACATTTATTTAAAACTTTTTATCCTAAGATATTTTTAGGCCCCTCTCCATTCTCATTACTCTTCGGTAGAATTTCTTCAGGTTTTCAACACCTTGAAGTTCTGTGTCCAAAGCTGGAAATAACAACTCAGCTGAGTCCCATAGCATGTTGAATGGAATGGTAGATGGAGTTTGTGTCTTGTAGGCTCTACTCCTTACATTCCCAATTTTCTGCAGCGGTGCGATACTGTAGACTCACACTTAGCTTGTATAACCTCCACATCTTTGGTGCTAAACTGCTGCTGAACCCGTTGCTCTCCATTCTGTGTTTGTATAGGTGATTGTTTCAGATGAAGAGCAGTCTCTTTTCATTTTCCTGATAATATTTCATTCTCTATGTTTCAGATAATTTTCCCAATAATGTGAGATAATTTTCCATTCTGATTTGGTCCATCCTCCAGCTTGCTTCTAGACCATCCCAACTTCATACTGGCCACTGCAGAATTAGGTTGCTGCAGAACTCTACGAACTCCCATTCTGAGAAAGGACAACTGCGAACTACTTTCAAGGCATGTTATCACACCATGTTTGCACTTCTGAGATCAGGTGTCTTTAGATTAATCCCTAAATAATTTGTGAGATTCCTGTTAAATAGTGTTAAAAAAATTCTCATTATTATGTTCTGTTGCATAATGAGAGGAAATTAAGTATTTCTGATATGTGGCAAAATTTTCAGAATTGTTTAACTGACTTAGGATATATTTTACTCAGGTGAAAGTAGACAGCTGATAGTTCTTTTTTCAAGTTAGCCAGGTATGAACTAGAGTTCATGTTATTTGTGTTATTGTGGTACTGAGCCTGAGCAAACAAGCATTATTGAGAAAGCACAAGAATTCAGGTGACATTCAACGTTTGAACATAGATTTTTGCTCTTAAATAAACATGCTGTTATTAATTACAGAGCATAATGAATATATGAAATATTTTGCCAAAAAAAAAGTAAGGATCTCACCTGAGAGATGTTTACAGTCCAACTAATAAAAAATGAGGAAAGATATGTTGGTTGTAAGAAAACCAGTGCTGCAAGACTTTCTAAAATAAGTGTGTTCTGAGGAGAGCAGGGCATAATAAAGGCTTGGAACTTGGGAACTTTTTGAAAGCATAGAGTAGCATAGAATAAGCTAAGTGAACTAGGCAGTGGAAGTACAGGAATATAAAGAATGAGGATGTAATAGAGAAGCAGAGGAAGCAAAGGCAGAGGGTATCAGAAGCAGTGTTCTATAGATCTATGAAAATATTTTTAAGGAACCTGATGGGGTAAGTAGGGAAGGCCTGAAGAGAAGTTTAGTCAGAAGCTCTCCATTTTGGCCTTAAAAAGTCTTTGTTTCAATTTTAGCAGTTTCTAAAAGCCTTGCTTATTATCTTCCACTTAAGACTGATCAGTACCTTTATTTAGAAGTGAACATTTAAAGCCAGACTGCCCTCTCAAGGACCCTTCATTGGTTACTTCCATTCTGACTGAAGGAACAGTAGGATGGCCCCAGTCCCCTCACAGTGCAGTCAGTGCTGTCAGTGTCACAGGTCTCACAGTGGCACTCTGTAGCTACTGGGTACGAATAAAAAGAATCGGGATGGTCACCACAGCCAGGGATCTTCACTGTCTCATACGCAACCTCCTTGAAGGTACATGTTTGCTGAACAGATGATACTGGTGGATATTTATATACTGGATCCTGAAAATTACAAGAAGGAAATACCTATTTTGCAATTTGTTGTGGGTTAGAATTCTAAAGTTTTATAAAATAAAGGACCTGATGTGAAAATTAATTAAACCAGTGGGAAAATCCTACTGAGATCAAAAGGATTTGGATCAGACTCTTCTAATTTCACCTAGATTCTTAGATTTCTCCTTTCTGGAGGACCAATATGGTAAATTTGTCGTACCATCACCAGACAATTTTGCAGGCCAGTTGCTTGATTCTTTAAATTATTTGGAAAAGTAAAAGAGTCTACATAATAATGGCTGCTTTATTGTATCCATTTGCAACCACGAATTGAATGCAAGGCAGAGATCCAGATTTTAATCCTTTCCTCTTTAGTTATACAATGTAAACGTAAGGTATTCAGCCTGATAAAGATCTGAATTTTACTAGCATCTTTTCACCCTTCCCTTTGTGGTTCAAATTGGCTGTCTACTTTCCTGTTAAATAGCACTGCAGTTACTCAACCTGTTCTTTCACAAGGTTTATCCTCCCTGTGCATTCATTGTGGACTGGAGAAATGGTTTATGCATACATCACTTGGTATATTTACTTCTGGTGCCTGAAATTAAATTTAAGATTCTCACCCTCGTGAAGCAGTATCCTGAGCACCACGTGGCATTCACTGTAATACAGAATTCACATTCTTCTCTTTCCACTGCTATAGTAATATTGGTGAGCTGACAGCTATTGCAACAAATTGCTTTCCAGCAAAATAACAGCACATAACAATTAACTGTCTTCATCCTGTGTATAAAGCAAAAAAATATTTCTAAGGTGGAGAAGAATGTATAGTTATTTTCAACAGGAAATAATGGGGAGAAATTGATTCTTCACATTATCCTCAAGTGGTTCTATAGCAACAAGCTTTCAGATATATTAGTAAGAACATGGAATAAATCCATTAAATAAAATTTTCTATATGTTCGTTGTTAAACAAGTTTGATTTTCCTAAGCAACTGAAATGGCATGTCAGCAATCATTGCAGAATAATAATAACAGAGTACCATACCACTTTCAATGAAATATTTTTATCTAAGTTTCTGTACAGACAATGTGTCCTGCCTTTAAGAAGAAAGGGAAAGGAGCAAGGGAGAGAAAGAGCAAAGGATAATCTACTTTTCAGAAGCAATTCGTTACATACCGTGTTTGCAATTTGAAAAAAAGATTTCTAGATCAAGATCTGATGAAAATTTACCTGTATTCTACTTGCTTTCGTGGTAATAGCTGGGGTGAAAAGAAAGCCCTATGCTTCCCTTTTATACTACATCATGTGTAACTTATACCTTGAGGATTTGCAGTGTATTAATGCAGCAGGCATTAGCTTGGTACTTGGTGAAAGCGGATTAACGTTCAGACAGACAGCGAGATCAAGCCTTGTTAAGAGGAAAAAAGAAAAACAAAACACAGTCAGGAAGTGATGGTGAAGGTTACTGTTACAATGTCTTTTAAAAAGTTTCACTGGCTTTGATTCAGTGGCATTTAGAAGTAGCTGAGCCATTCCACAATTTGAAAGAAAGTTGAGAAACCTATTTTTGGAAAAGAAAAATTCAGGTGTTTTAACTGTGTTTTATGTCAGCCCTCAAACAGATAGGCTTGGGGTGCAAGCTGGTCCTCTGGCAATTCATAGTGGAGACATTGCTGGAGTGTTTCTTGGCTAATGAACATGTTCCTGAGTTTTTCAGGGAATCAATCTTAATTGCTTTTCTCTGAATTAGGTCTTACCCAGTGAGCTGCATATGTTCTTGTTTATTGATCTTTGGTCCAAGAAAGTGTGAGTTTTGTTAAACTGTAACTCCAGCTTTCTTTACTATTTAAAATACTACTGCGGTTCTTCAAAATTCAGATTTCTATCCCAGTATATGCAGTCCTGGCTCCTGTCTGTCACATGGTCACATTTTTTTTTTAACTTAGGTAAGGGATGTCTGTATTGTGGGAAGGGATACAAAGATGTCATAATGAGGCTCCAGATCTGTGTTTTCTTTCAGTGATCTCAGATCAAGTATTGTCATGTTACAGGGAAAATGCTAATATTTTTAACAGGCAACCATGCAAACTCAACTTGAATGCATTCCCTACTTTGTCATGATAATAAAAGATTCTATGAACAGTGATCCCCCACTCACTGCCCTTTTCTTGCATTCATGTTAGTGATGTGTGTTCTTCACCAGAATAATGACAGAGAAATAACTGTTGAGCTGCATGTATCACTTCTGGGGAAAATGACTCATGGTAACACTGTATTTACTATCATCTGCCCAGAACAGACAGTCTTGCTTTGTTATGACTGTTTTATTATGGTCAGTCTGACTTTTACAGAAATCTATCCACAAAAGAAAACTAGGCAAGGACATACAGTTAAAAGCATTTTATCATGAAAAGAAATTCTCACTGGCTTATTAGTTGTCCTACAGACAGGATGCTTTTCAAAATGGCTTTTACAAATGAGCCCTTTAAGTGTCTCATACCTTCCTATGGTCCTGCAGATGGGCCATCTGTTCCAGTTTCCATCCAGTCTGCAATACCTTGATTTGTTAATCAGTTTCCTATCACACCAAAGTTTGAAAGTGATCTGCAATTTTTTTGTGGACGTCTCTTGCAATAATAACTTACTTTGAATGAGAACACAGGTCAGTTAAATGTATGAAGAAGTTAAGAAAGCAGGCATCTTCCTTTTTACTAATACAAACTCTGTGATCTTTTGATAATTTTTTTTTTTTGTGTGTCATTTAGTGTCAACACAGTCTCTCTTCTCAGAGAAGATTCTCACTTGCTGTAAATCACTAATTCCAGAGATGCCAGACAAAATCTCATTACAATTTGTTATGTCCCTCCTGAGGATCTGGCCTTTTCTAAGTACTAATTTATGCAAATTAAATAAAACTAAATAAGAACAATTTGCAAAGGACAATACAGAAAATATCTAATCTCTCAGTTGCAGCGATCTGTTTGGTGGTTTGAGGAAGTCATACACATTCACTAAAACCATAGTTTTACAAGCAGAGAGCATAAGTTTAGCCCCTGCCATGCTGTTTCTTCCCTCCCCTAGTTCCTTGCTCTGGCCCACTCAGCCTCCTCACTTGCAGCAATGCAAATGAGGAAATCATTCTGATTAAAAGGAAAAAAAACAACCCAGCCATCTTTTACAGCACTGTTGTTAATCTGTATCAATTTATCCCACAATGAAATGAACAGCTGTAGCAATGTAAGTGATGGGGTTGTTTGGGGAGTGGGAATGTTAACAGGAAATGCTTTACATAGCATTCTCGAAGAAGAGTTCATGAAGGCATATTGCAAACACAATACAAACTTTTTAACAGAAAGATTTTGTCCTGCAGTGACTTCAGGGGGGTTTGTCTATGTAATCATCAGTTCTAGGTTGATTTTTCCAGGTATTTGCTCTGCCAAATTCATTGTGTAAATGTATGAACATGAATTTTTAGGGTAATAGGAAATTACAAATTGAAATCAACTGACCACCAGTCTATCATCTGAGGAGAGGTAATTTGGTGAGTTGTTACTTGGTTGACTTTGATTTTGTTCTCATACTTTTTGTTAGAAAGATACACTAAAGGAACTATTTACCATGATGGGCAAGATGCTGTGTAGTACACGTTTTTCTAAGGTTATTAGTTAATACCTCTGAAAAAAGTTTATATGCTAACTATATCATACTCCTTCAAGTTTATATTCCCATTAGATTAAAAAAAGATTATGGTAGTTGTGAAATGAATAACAAATTTTATTTATCCAGAAAGCTATAATTTTCACATATATGTGAACATTATATGTAGGGTCTGTGTTATTGAATGTTGTATCTATTTGAGAAATAGAAATGCTTTCCACATTAAAAGGTTTATGTTTCATTTTAGGGAATAATGTCAGAAGGAAGAACAGTTCCTCTTCACATGCTACAGCAACTTTTAAGTGTTAATAGTGGTTTTATCTATCTAGTCCTTAGGCAGTATTGTCCATCCTAGATTTAGGAGTTGTCATTATGCTTCTAGTCTGAATGATAGGAGTTTCCCAGCTTGTCAAAGAGGAATTACTGAAGCCATACTCCTGGAATTCTGTGGTGGTTTATGTATACAGCCTATGAAATTTAAAGATATTGTGTCATGTCTCTACAGAAAGATTCAGACAGACCTGCATGTGCTCTGCTCACATGGGAGTTAGCTAAGCAATTCACCCATCTGGAATGTCTCTGCAAATGGCCTGTTTGGACTGGGCCAAAGCAATCTTATAGTATTTCTCTGCTTTCTAGGGTCAGTTTACTGGTGGTTCCATTGTGCAGAAGCCAAGCTCTAGCAAGCCCTGTGAGAGGGCTCAAGTTGCTGCAGACTCCTGTAATTGCATTATGATTGGGAATGGAAGAGTTGGATAGGAACATCTAATGCTTAATGGTCAAGACCTCTGTCAGCAGAGATTGCTGTATTCCTACTGAAGTGAGTGGGGAAATCTGGCAAATGCTGCAATGGAAGATCTGGCCTTAACAGGGACAAGAAGTTGGTTCCTCAGGGTACAGGTAGTCCTGTAGATGAAGACTGTTGTGCAAGTCATAGTGGGCATCCTGTGTTAACACCTTAGCGGCACCTCAGGGAACTAAAAGGCTTTTCTGTATTTCTATTTTTTTTTTTTTGTATTCTATGGCTATTTCCCTTACCCTTACTGTTGTAACCCAGCAAGCCATTGTTACCACTGCTGCCACAAGACAGCACTTGCTTTGCTATTTCTAATCACTTCAACTAGAATTGTTGTGGCACATTCTGCTGTAAATGCTCTTTTTTTTTTTTCTGTTTGTGGGGTTTTTTTGTTTGTTTCTTTGTTTTTCCAAAAGCATTTAATACAGAACTGAAAGCTTTGTGTTTCTTATATGTCCTAACCTAGTGACATTTCTTTCTTCAAGTGGGGTGGTGGTAAGACTAGCAATTCTGCTATTGCAAGTTGTAAATCTGCCTTGCTTAAAAAAAGGTATTTTAGATCTTTCAGACAACTTCAGCATCTATCAAAGTGATATTGGAAAACTCGGTTATATGTGTGCAACTCATCCACCAAGAGTAATAAATCTGACCCTGTCCTGACAGAAGATGTATTGAACTTTCTAGTGGAAAAAAACACAATGTCTGATATAAAAGACAGGTCTTATCTGTAAATTATTCCAACTGCAGACTAGCTTTAGCTTCTAATATATTATTTTCAAAGTGTCAAGGGACATGGTTTTAGGTTTGTAAGATTCATGGTTGTAGTTACATGTTTTAGCTCTTGTTAAATAGATATGTTACTGGGGATAATAGTTTCTGCATCTGAAGGCTATTGATCATTGAAAGTGTGTCTCAAGGCATGTGCATGTTTAAGGTGCTTAAATCTATGGCTTAATTAAATTTCTATGGCTTAGAACAAAACGAAGAGTTGGTTTTCTCAAGTTTGGAGTTGTGCACTTCAATGTCATTATACTGATTATAATATGTGCTTGTGTCAAGTTTCTTCTGTACACAGCCTGTCTTGACTGTGTACCCTTCCTCTCCCCTTTTTTGTGTTTGTCCAAATGCTTTTCTGCACAGGTCCAAATTTAACCTGAGGTATTTAAAGCAAAATACCATATTGCTACTACCCAGTGTTGACTAAATTGATATCCCCGAAATACACAGATTTCAAATAGCTTCAGAATCTGTGCTTTAGGACTCCCTGTGTGGGGTTGGTATTTCACAGCACAGAAGCACAATCCTGTGTTAAGTAAACAGATTGGAGTGCTGTCTTTCTTTTTTGTTGTTGTTTTTGTTTCTTACTACTGGTCAGAGATTACTTTTCTAATTGTATTACCCCTCTATATCCCTTTGGGGTTTACTGTGATTCTTACTAAAGTCAACAGAGAGACCTTCACTGGCTTTAGTGGTAACTTCTTGGAGTGGGTAGTTGATCACTATTGTTCAATATATTTTTTTACTGGTATTGTTTTAATTTTCCAGCACTGGTGATGCAGAATTGTGAAGTAGTTTGGGCCTGCCAAGTTCATAGCTGGATAGTTGAAACTAATTAGTGTCAGTTAAAGAGTTAGTCATTAATAAAGGATTCATATATCCACCCATATGCAAGCAGAATACTTTGCCCTGAGAAGAATAAAGAAAACACTAGAATGCATTGACTATGTATTTAGCATATAATTTTAGAAAGCTTTTGAGATACTAGTTTCCATTACTTGGAGCAAAGATTATACA